TTTAGAAATTATTGTGTGCTGTTCAGATGTAAGATAGTGTTTTCATTATCCAGGCAATTGATACACAATACTGAGGCATGAAGAAGACTAAAGTTTCCTAACCTGAATGATTAGAATGACTATTTTCCTTTCTCAGATTTGCTTCCCAATTAATTTATTCTCCCCTGCTCACCACACATCAGAAAAAGCCAAGGAAGACATGTGCAAAAGGGAGCAGTGAACCCAGGCTATAATCCAGATAATTCAGGTGAAAGAATTCTTTTGTTGGATAGATCAAAAGTGGCCTTCAGGCACGGGGACTTGGGGTAGAGGGTGTTCTTCACTTCAGATTCAGAATTAGGACATCTGTAGTTGTCGCGGTTGGGGTGGGGCACCTCCTGGGCACTTGGCTGGCGTTCTTGTTCTCACTCCCTCATGTGGCTGGCTCTGTATATCTCCCTCTGAATTTCTTTGCCTTGGAATGTCTCTCTCTGGCCCCCTTCTCTGAATGTCTCTGTCTTCTGAACTGCTTTCTAATTCTGAATTTCCCTTTGATTCTCAGTTTCTCCTTTTTCTTTTCCACTTTCCACTTGTTTGTTTCTGTCTGACTGTCACCTTCCCTCTCCGTGGTCTCTTTCTTTTCTCTTTTCTCCTGTCCTTTCTTCCTAGGAGTTCATTCTGTCTTTTTCCCTCTCTCTATCTCTATCTCTTATTTCTCCTTTTCACTCTCAACTCCTCCCCTCCCCTCCCTTCCCCTCTCCTCTCCTCCACTCTCCCTCTCTCTCCCCCCCTTCTCTGTCTGTCTGTCTGTCTGTCTAGCCATCCTGTCAGCCCCTGAAAGCTGCCTGCCCACTCCAAAAAATCCACTTGGCTGTTCCTCAATGATCAATTTTCTTCCCTGCGGTTAGAAAGTAGCTCAGGCCTTAACCCATTTCCTCTGGTGGATCCAAATTAATTAGGTGAGTCCAGGGTTGCACATTTCAGAATTAGAATAATATTTATTGAGCACCCTGGAGAGCAAGGGATTGTAGCTGGAGAGGAACCAGAGCAAAGAGGGAGGTCACTGAGCTGAGGAGATGGGAGGGGGAGCTAGCAAAGCAACCTGCTCCTAAGGCCACGTGGTCTGAGATGAGAACCCCGCTTTCACACTGGCAGAGGGCACTGGGAAGGATTGGATCTTGGGGAATGATTCAGGAGGAGGTATAGGACCAGGATCATTTCCTTGGCTGTCATGCTCTTCAGTGGGACAACACATGGTGGGGCCCCAGGCATCAGGCAGCCTTGAGAAACAGTTTTTGGTACAGTCCTCCTTGGCTCTGCTGCCCAGCACACCCCAGACTACTGGGCAGCCAAAGTCCCCTCTCCCAAGTTACTTCCTTTCATTCTATGGCCCAGAGACAGGAGGAAGCAGCCTTGCTGTAACCCAGAGATATTACTTGTCCAGCAGCAAGCACTGAACCTGCTAGTCTTTAGGAAGACAGCCCTGCCTTGAGGATGAAGTACCTACTTCCTTGCTTGCTGAGTAGACATCAGTCGAGGTTCTTCAACCTTACTGCCATTGATATTTTGTGCTTGATAATTCTTTGCCATGAGGAGCATCCTGTGCATTGTAGGAAGTCAACAGCATCCCTAGCCTGTACCCACCAGGTGCCAGAAGCATCTCTGTATAGTTGTGTCAACCAAAAATGTCTCCAGGTACTGCCAGATATTCCGGGGGGGGGGGGTGCAAAATCACCCTACTTGAGAACCACTGATTAGACTTGGTGTTGGCTAGTCTAAGGGGTTGGATTTAATCACATAACTCCTTTCCCCTTCATAGGCATCAGAGAAGTAGGAGTCTGCTTAAGAACTTGGAAGGCAAGAGAAAGGATAGAACCTTTTGAATAATAACGATTGAGATATAACTGTCCACAGTCATTAGTAGTTTTTCCTCATCAGCCCTCTCCTAACCCTGGAGTAGCCACAAATCTATTTTCTATCTCTGTAGATTTGGTGAACTGGTCATTTAATATAAATGTAGTCTTTTGTGACTGGCTTCTTTTTCTTAATGTGGTGTTTTCAAGATTCTTCCATAGTATAGCACGTGTCATTACTTCGTTCCTTTTTTATGACTGAAGAATTCTGTTTTGTGGATACATCCACATTTTGTTTATCCATTCATCAATTGATGAACATTTGGCTTGTAGCCACCCTTTGGCTCTTACTAATACTGTGCCATGAACCTTCATATAAAGTTTTATGTAGTTATGTTTTCATTTTTCTTGAGAGTACTTGGGAGTAGAATTGCTGGGCCTATTCACTATAGGTTTAATATTTTGAGGAATTGTTAAACTGCCTTCCAAAGGGGCTGTACTGTTTTAAATTTTCATTAGCAGAGTGTGAAGACTCCTGTTTCTCTAAATTGTTGGCAACAATTGCTGTTATCGGCCTTTTTGTTTGTATCCATCTTAGTATGTCTGAATGGTATGGCATGCAGTGTCATTTTGATTTGTATTTCCCTAGTGCTTAATCATACTAAACTACTTTTCATGTGTATGTTCTTTGGAGAGATGCCTCTTTACATCCTTTGCCCATTTTAAAATTGAGATATTTGTTTTTTTTAAATTCTTGAGTTGTAAGATGCTTTTATAAATATTCTGGATACAAGTCTGTTATCAGATAGGTGCTTTGCAAATGTTTTCTCCTATTCCGTGGATTGTCTTTCATTTTCTTGATGATATCTTCTGATGCACAAATGTTTTTATCTATTTTTCTTTTGTTTCTTGTGCTTTTCATGTTAGATCTAAGAAACCATTGCTATATGGGAGAAGTCACAATGATTTACTCCCATATTTTATTCTAAGAGTTTATAGCTTCAGGACTAATATTTAGGTATATGACCCATTTTAAATTAATTTTTGTGTATAGTGTGAGATTAGGGCCTAATTTTGTTCTTTTATGTATGGAAAACTATTTGTTCCAGGATCATTTTTGAAAAGAAAAGTATTCTCTCTCCAATGAATATTCTTGGCACTCTTATGAAACATGAATTGACTGTAGATGTATGTTGGGACATACATTTTGGGACTTTCAGTTCTACTCAATTGGCCTATGTGTCTATTATAACTTGTAATTCACTATTTTCTTATCACAGAAAGATGGTAGGGAAGAGTCTTTGACCATGAGAAGGATGAAACAATGGTATCTTGCATTAATGTATGGTTAAAAAAGTATGCAAAATAAAGTTATCACATGTCAGAATCAGAAGATGTTTTAGAAGTCATGTTAGTTTGCTGGGTGTGGTGGTGCATGCCTGTAATCCCAGCACTCAGGAGGTTGAGGCGGGAGGATCACAGTGAGTTCAAGGCCACCCCTGGCCAGAAAGCAAGACCTTATCTAAAAAAAAAAAGTCATGTTAGTTTAAACCCTTTGTTTTCCCAATGGGAAAAAGTGATTACATTTCAGCCTCAATGATTAAAATGTTTGCCCAGGGGTTCATGGCTAATCAGCAGAGCTGGGATTTGAACCTAAAACTCTTGCCTTTCTAGGGCAGTACTTTTTCCTTATTCCTAGGACCCAAATGGCTGATGTATGGCCCCGAACCCAGACCTTCCCTATTTCTTTCCCCTGAACATGAGGTTCTGTGTTCTGCCTGTCCGTGGAAGTGTGTGTGGGGGGGTGTGTGGTCTGTTCCTTCCTTGACAGGCTGAGAGCAAAGAAAGCCAGTGAGAGGAAAGCACTTGGAAAATCTGAAATTGCTGTATAAATGCCACTAAATGAAAAGATTGCCAGCTTGATGCACTTCTAAGAAGGTTCGGCATGTCTGTCACAGGAAGCATAATGGAAGGAGATCATCCACTCTCAGACACTGTTGTGCTTGTCACTTTCCAAGGGGGCAGAGTACTAGAGGTGAGAGGCGAAGGAAGCCATGGGGTGGGTTGGTCATGATCTCAGTGGGGCAGGGCTGACTCAAAGAGGCCTGGAGTTACGCTGCCTCACCCACCCCACCCCTCAGGGACACCCGGAGCACATGGAAGAGTCTTTGCCCTGCTGGGTCAAAAGGGGTACAGCAGGACCCAGGGATGTTATCCAAATGTAGCCTTTCTGGCCAGTCCACACTCATCTATGCTCCTTAGCGCGTCCCTGTTGCCTCTGTACCGATGACAGTGCTATCTCCCGTGCCATCCACTGAAGGAGTCCTGTTTGAAACTAGGTGGGAGAGTGATCCCTCCTAAATTGAGAGTTCCTAGAAGGCAGGAATGGGGGCCTATTAACCTCTGTCTCTGCAGGGACTGTTGCATGCCTCGTCTTCAAGAATTATATGTTTGGTTGTTGAAGGTAGGGATTGAGTAAATAAAACCTGCTTTCTCTGGGTCACTGAATCTCTTGGTAGGGGGTCGTCTTTCCACTTAGGCAGAGTTTCTGTGCATCTTTTTTCCTGTGGATTTTTTGCCTCTGTGTTTATAATTGCTCCCTTGTCTAAACTCCATTTGCCTTCTCTGTCTGCACCATCCATGTGTTCTGATGTTTATCTTTTTATCTGAGCATCCTGCTTTTGCAGCTAAATCACACCTTTCTTTGACAGCAGGAGGGGTGTGTTGTACTTATTTGGGTCACCAGTACCTAGTGCATGCTGCTCTGTGTGTGCAGGGGAGGCTGGTCCCCTAATAGTTAGTACCCTGCTGCTGCATGTGAGGCCTGTGATGTCAGCCTTTTCCCAAGGTGGCACTCCACTGCCCAGTTGCTGGCAATTCTGGCTGACGTAGGTGGGTATTTGGGGAATCAGTATTTTGAAGGAGCTCAGAGTTTGCTGACGTGAAATAAATTTCAAAAAAGTCATAATCACAGTCTTTTAGCATCTGTACCCCAAGGCATGGTATTCTCTCCACTGAGCCAGCACTAGATGAGGCTGTGACTGTTGAGAACTGAATGCCATGTCTCTGTCTCTTCCCAGCTCCAGGTCTCAAAGCACCTACAGAAGTGAACCACTCCCTTCTGTGCAGCACATGAGAGTCTCACTGTGTGATCTCTTCCTTCTTTAGGGCTCTGGCTGACATCTTAAGACAACAGGGACCAATCCCCATAGCACACTGTGAAAGAGAAACTATCTCGGCTATCAATACCTCTCCCAAAGAGAACACACCGGTCAGATCGTCCTCCAAAAATCACTACACCCCCGTGCGTACAACCAAGCAGACTCCGGGTAAGTGAATGCTGATCATCTCGAATCTTTGCTGAGACTGTTGAAAGGTGTCAGTGATTTTCTGCTCTGGTGGGCCAGATGGTGGAGTACTGTGTAGTGAAGAGTGTCCTGGTGGACAGGCAGGACTGAGGACTTTTCCTGGGAAGGTTGTTGTGTGAGAGGGATCACTGCTGATCAGTTCTGGGCTGAATGAGGGCTGCTGATGCTTTGGGGCACCCGTGCTTTATTGAGTGACTGGTTTAATTCTCTTCTCTGAGGGGTAGTGTGCAGCAGCCATGTAGAGCTTAAGCATCCATTGGCCTGTGTGGTGGGAAAGTTTGGGCTGACTGGAATGCTGGATATGCAGCAAAAGAATCCTGCACCCAGGTAGAAAGCCTGCTCAGCTATTGGAATCTCAGAGTACTTCCTGAGGATGGGAATGTTGTCTGTATTTTAGGGCCTCCCTTTTCTGTGGGCTATAGATTCCCTGTATATACGATAAGTTACCATATGATAATGATGATACACAACTGAGCTTAATATGTGGTTCCAGGATCCCTGAGGATACCAAAATGTGTAGCTGCTCAAGTCCCTTTTATGAAGTGGCATAGTGTTGGCCTATAACTAGTGCACATCCTTCTGTATTCTTTAAATCATCTCTAGGTTTCATAGTACCTAATACAATGCAAATGCTCTGTGAATAGTTAGTTATGCTGTATTGTTTAGAGAATAAAGTCTGTGCTGGTTTGGTACACTTACAATGTTTTGAATATTTTTGATTCATGGTTGAAATCTGTTGGATTGAATCGCACAGTTGGTTGAATCTTGCAGATGGATGCAGAACCTGTGGAATATGAAGGGCTGACTATACCTCCTACTCTTTTACTTGGTCATCACTATAACACTATGAAGGAAAATGGGTTAAATTTATTTTTCTTGTCTTATGGATCAATAAATAAAGCTTCAGGATGTTTAGTAACTTGAACAAGGTCATAAAGGTGTTAATAATAAGAAAAACAATAGTAGACGCAGTAATATAATGTAAATATTTAATGTGCTTACTCTGCCAAACATCATGCTGAGCATTTTACACTTATTTTCTTATTTATTCTTTACAACAGTCTTAAAAGTACTGATATTATCAATACTTTATAAGAGGAATAAAAAGATTATATAACTTTCCCAAGGTCACATAATTAGTAAGAGAGAAAACTAGAATTTAAATCAAGGCAAATAATTACCAATGGTCAGGACTAGAAAACCATAATATCCTTATCCAGTTGGGGACATGAATGCAAAATATCTGAGGGGACAGTGTCTTTACATCTTGATAAGTCATATCTCATTGTAAGATTTACGAGAAAACCCAGTACTGACCCCACTCCCCACGTTTCTACTGTACTTTGGTCCTTAGCTCTGGGGGAATTCATATCCAGTGCTCTACAGTTTTTCAAAGGATGGGGTATAGGGTCCGAACTAAACTTGCAATAAAGATACATGATCACTACATGGCATAGGGGTGCCCAGATCCAAAACTAGCAGAGGTGCTGCTGAGGTAAAATTTATTCTCCATTCATTCTTTAACTTTCTTAAATTTATGAAGCCACATTAGCCTTTAATATTGTAGTTTTAAATCTTTTGAACACTTACAAAAGCAAAGGACATTCTCCCTTAAAGGTACACATGTATATACACAGATGGATGGATGTATTCATCCAACAGTTTGTGTAGGATTTAAGGGAAGTCACAGAACCCCTCCAAGTTAGAAATTCTTGATTTAAAGGTAAAATGAGGAATCTACCTTTGCAAAGAGTCTAAGATGCATTTTCAGCTGTAACATACTAGATCCTTTAAATGGAAGCAACAGATGAAATCATGGTACAAACATATGAAGCGGTGGTCATCTACCTGGCTGCACACTGGGAAGTTCTTAAAAATGCTGATGCCTAAGCTCCAGAGATTAACTAGAATTTCTAGGAATGGAGATGATCATCACTATTTTAAATTTATTTGATTCTAACATGCTGCCAGGGTCAAAAATCAATGGTCCAGATGGATTCCTTCATGTAGGAGTGGCAACTTTGAATGCCAATGATTCTCCAACTTGACCGCACATTAGAATCATTGGAGAGATTTAAAAATTAAGATGCCTGGGACCCTTACCTAGAGATCATGATTTAATTGATGTGGGGGTATGATGTGAGAATGGAGCAAGGTGTTTAAATTTTCCTTAAGTGAGAAAGTTTGAGAATTATTGGGCTCCCAAAATTGCATAAAGACACCATTCTAACTAATATTTGTTATCATTGATCATTGCTTAGTCTAACCTTGATATACTTGCCAATTTTGAATAGGGTGTTTTTGTTTTTCCCAAAGATTCATCATTTGAAGTCAGTTTCCTCCAGAGTTTGGCCCGTGACACTGTAACTTCAAGTCATTTTGACCTCAAAAGCATCCCTGGTTGTTTATTTTCACTTCTGTGTTCAGCTTTTCTCTGTCTCATTTACAACTGAGGTAGTTCACAGCTACTGAATCAGACTGATTTGCTCTTATACATACTTCACTGGGCAATAATTTTTGTCATTTTTTGTGGTTTCCATACATATCCTGTCTTATAGTGAGCTGAGAAGGGAGCTTTTACAGTTAACATGATTCACTTCTATGTTTCAAGAAATCCCTCCCTGTATTTGTCAAATTGTAGCTCTTCATATTGCTTTTAAAAATGGAAATGGTTTCCCTGGCCCAGAAAATAGTCTCTGTCATGAAACCAAAATGTAAAAGCAATTTCACAACATGCTACATCTTCTGTAGCTTATAACAAACACAGTGCTTTTTCCAAATAGCTGATACCTTTTGCCACAAAATATTGCAATTTGAGCAGAAATTTACAGAACTTTGAGTAAATGTTCAGAGTAGAAATTTACTGTGATTTTGCCACTCATCAAATCAACCAACCATCAATTGTAGTAAAGCAGTAAGAGTACTTAGGGGGATATTAAGAAAGAGGCCCAGAAATACCAGAATCCACTAAAACATATGGGTAGTTTTGCTATTTGAAGTGCTGTCATTGGACCTACTGCATTACTGTTATCTGGGATTTGTGAGATACGCAGAATCTCAGGCTCACCTCACCTGGTAAATGAGAACTTGCATCTCAGTGAAATCACTTAGCAATTAGAATTTGTGAAGCACTGGAAAGTTGCGGGCTCAGTTAATTTCTTGGCACTATCATCTACTGTATATCTGATCTCTGCTGCATAGACTACTCTCCAAATGGCTAGAGTTGTGTTAAGAATATAATGAGTTAAATCAAGCAGAACATTTAAACAGGTCCCCATCCATAGCAAACACTGCTATCCATGACCAGGCTATGAAAGCACATCTACAGCTTTTGGAAAATGAATTGAATGAATGAGAGATCTAAATAATGCATTAGTGTCCTTAGACTAACAGGATCCATAGAGTTGTGTCTGAGATGGGTCAGGGTTTTGGAAGTTGAAAGCGCACACTTATTTGGCCTGGGAATTGGAGTGAAGGTCATGCAGTAATAAACAATGACAGCCACGTAACACAAGTATCACTTTTTGAGCAACTTAAACTATATACTGGATACTCAGCTAGGTATCCAGAACAGAGAATGTAGTATCTTAGATGTAGATCTAATCTCACATGGACAGAAAAGTTCTGTCCTTTCATCAAAGAGTCTTTCACCTTACCTTGTCCAGTAAGCCAAACTTCCAAACCTTTCTTCCAGTATGGAGGAATGAACCCAGGGTTGTGCACTGTGCTATATCCCCAGCCCTTTATTTTTTTTCTACTTTGAGATAGGGCCTCACTAAGTTGCCCAAGCTGGGCTTGAATTTGCAACTCTCTTGCCTCTGCCTCTTAGAGTGCCAGGATTACAGGTATACACCACCATGCCCAGCTGCCCCTTCCCAGCTTTAAAGGGAGCGAGCTCCATAGTGGACTTTTACTAGGACATAGTGAAGCCTATGTCCCTCATCCACTCCTCAATTCTAGCTACCTTAAGACCCTACTACTCAAGTTGTGGTCCCTGGAACACAGCAACTATCTCACGGGAGCCAGTTGAAAATACAAAATCTTGGGCCCTTTCCCAGACTTACTGAATTAGAATCTGTACTTAAACAGGAAGCCAAGGTGATCTGTACACATGTTGAAGCTGAAGAAAAGCCCTGTATCATGGTGATTCTCAATCCTGGCTGCACACTGCAATTGAATAGGGAATTCTGAAAATACTACTGCCTGCCGGGCGTCTACCACCAAGACTGATTTAATTGGTCTGGAGTAGAATCTGATCAATAATATTAATATTTTTGCAACCTCCTATTCTGTTTCTATGTTCAGCCAACTTTGAAAATTGGGCTCTCGAGGGTGACTATAAGATGGGGAAGATATCCTTCGAAGATTGTGGAGATTGGGTTTCCATGAAAACCTGCAAGATGAAGACTGCTGGGTCCGAGTCAGTGGGGGAGCAAGAAGTCCTCTCATTGGAGGTGGGGCAAAGGGAGTAGAGGACTCAGGCTTCTGTGAGAGACAGAGGGGTCAGTATGCAGATGTGAATGGAGATATCTAGGGAGAAGCAGACACAAGTAGAAATGTCAGAGCTGATTAGAAAATTATCAGTGAGGAGTCCTTAGGAGCTGCACCATGTCTAGTGTTTCAGGTCTCCTGATTCAGAGGCTTGGTGTGGGCTTAGTCCTCATAGATAGGGAAGAAGGGAGGTCTAGCTTGCTTGCCTGTCCTGTGCTTCTCACAAAGAGCCTGTTTTGGGGTATCTGGGTGCCATCCCTGGTAGTAGTAATGAGACCATATCCACAATCTTGATATCCACCTTCCCAGCATCAAGACGCATCAGCTGGAGGAAATAAATACTTATGCTCCATCTACACACCACTGTGCATTGTATAAATGAGTAATCAGTCATTCTGCCTGCTGTCAAAGCCACAGCCTTGAGTGGCAGAGTCAGGGAGCCAGGGGCAGAACTCTAAGCTTCAGAGACA